TTGTTGTCCTCCAGTTTGTAAAGCTCAACGAGGTTCTTCTTGTACGTAGTCCATTTTCCATCCTTCGGTCGAGCTTCCTTAACTTCCCTCCCAAGACTTGGGTCCACATTAAATAGGAAGTTTTCTATAATCTCTTCCTCCGACCACTGACTCCGGCTGGCGTGAAGCTCCCACTTCTCCAGATATTCTGTGATACCATAGCCTCTGAAGGTAGGAGGCTCTGAGACCTTGTGCGTAATAATATAGCGGTCCTTGCTCTCGTAAGGGAGCGGATGTGACTCCCCTGTCTGAGGTCGAAGACTCGCCTGGGCAGCGCCCTGTCTCTATCTCTGTCCTTCCAATAGGAATCCCTCAAATTCTCTTTCCAGTCGTCTCTGTACCTGTCCGCTATGATGTCCCTTCGCTCGTACTCAGGGGAGCGTCAGCTCGTCGCTTCTCGTCGCTCGCTCGAGGTACCCGTCTTTAGAGCCTCCTGTGGCTCTGTCGCAACTGGTTCACCTCTCATGTCGGGCCCTCCGTCATTGGTTTGGTCAACCCATCTTAGCGGTGCTTCTTGCCTAATTCGTTCCTTCAGTTCCCTCAGTGCTCGATCGGGCGATGCCCTGTACTCTTCTCCCGCTTCGCCCGTGGTCGGTTGTGGCCCCATCGTGTCGGGTTCCATTGGACCGTCAGAAGATGCAGTTAGGTATTCTAGCCAACTATTATAGCCCGACCCTATGACAGTCGCTGCAGCCCGGACCCGTGACAGTCGCGGCAGCCCGGACCTGTGACAGTCGCGGCAGCCTGGACCTGTGATAGTCGCGGCAGCCCGGACCTGTGACTTTGTCACGACTCACGCCCGCCTCCAATCTTAGCTCTCGACTGCCTTGATTACCACTTCCAGTGTCCCGTTCCGGTCGCAGATCTCGTGTCCTCCCTCTCTATCCCAAGAATCCCTGTGTCTAAGTAAACCTCTCCTTCGGGATCGGCCAACTAGGCCGTGCCTCTCCGGATCTGTAGTACACCCGTGACAGAACCTCTATCCTTGAGACAGATCGGGGTCCCAAACCTAGCCAATGTCTTCTGATCAACACCCCTCAAGAGTCTCTGAGCATCTCTCTCCGCCCTCCTTGCTAGTTCTCCTAGCCCTGGTTAGCCCGCTAAAGGCCCTTCTACTGCCATCCAAAGTCGCCCATCGACCTTTCTAGCTTCCACTTCCTTCCAAGAGCTTCCAATTTCTATTTCCACTACCTTATCTCCTCAACAGTTACGAGGTCATCTGTCTAACAGCTGAGGTAAGTTAGTGCTATAACGACCTGTAGCCTCATCGCCGACCTCTCCAATATGTCATAAAATGTCTCAAAGTCCTCACTATCTCCCCCTTCGTCTATCGCCTCTAAAGTCTTCATCGTTTC